GGCCTTATTCCTAGGAGCTCTCCTGACTGACGGGATGGGAACCCCCTGGGTCTGGTGAGACCAGGCCTTTGACACTGTCCTCCTCCTGTGAACAGGGATACCGTCCACTCTAACAGGTGAAGCGTGTTCAGCTCTTGGGGGAAGCGGGGCAGCAGGCTGGGCCTTCCGCCTTCATGTTTTACCAAGAGTTGTGCTTCCCAGAGTCTCCCGGCCTTGGGTCTTCCCAGCGCCTCACAGCAGCCTGGCTGGCAGGACAGGGATTGTTCGCAGTTGTATAGGTGAGGAGTCTGAGGCCCAGAGAGGGTCAGGCTGTCCCGAGGTCACACAGTGAAGGAGGGGCAAATTGGGGCTGGAACTGCTGTCACCATCTCCTGCCCACTTCTAGCCTTCACTTTCTGCTGTGCTTCGGGTCCTCCTGCTTGAACCCGGGCTCTGTTGGCCTTTGCTGCCTGAGCACCCTGGGGAGGAGCCTCAGGAGCTGGCATCACCCTCCCAGCATTTCCGGCCAACCCAGTCCACTGGGCGTAAATGATGGCCCCTTCCGCCAGGGCAACGCTGACTTGGAGCTCCCACAGGCCTTTTGAACTTGGTGCCCTCTCCTCCCTCGCCTCCATGTGACTGCTGGCCTTCCCCCGCAGAACCGGCATGAGATGCTGACTCTGGAGCCACTGCAAACGCTGCTGTGAATGAAGTGGAAGACGTTTGCCAAGAACATGTTCTTTCTGTCCTGCTTTTACTTCTACACCATGACCCTGACCCTCGTCTCATACTACTGACCCCGGGAGGAGGAGGTATGTGGGCCCCTTGCAGGGGGAAGAGGGGGTGGTCAGAGCTGGAGCTGCCCCACGTGCAGATGGGGAAACTGAGCCCCAGGGAGGCCAGGGGATTTGGGTGGGCCCCCAGTCGTCCTTCACACTTTCTAGGGAAGTGAGTTTGTCTCCAGTGCTTGGCTGGGCTAAGGCCCAGGTGCTGAGTCCCAGGTAGACCCACGTTGGGGGAAGTTGGAGAATTCAGACTCAGACCCTGCCCAGGGTCTCTGTCTAAATATAGAACTGGTCAGGTGTTTCTGCTGTGAGGGCTGCAGGAAATGGGAGGGGGCTAAGCGCTCCCTGCCTGCTGGGCCTTGGTTTCCCATTCATCACATGGGGCACGGAGCCTCAGCTTTATTAACTGTGCTGTGAGGCCATGTTGAGTGTTTGGATATGGAGGATTCTGGAAAGGCTGTTGCAGTAGAGCATGAGGGTGCTTAGCATGGATTGGATGATACTCCTCGTTGTAGAGATCTGGGCTTCCATCAAGGATGGGGAGGGTGGGAGTCAGGGAGTGGCTCTTCCTTCTCTTGACCTGTACAGAGATGGGGTTTAACTCTGGCCTCTGACCTGGCTTGAGCGTTTTTCCTGTTTTGGCTGCTCTAGTGTTGGGGCCAGCTCAGCCCTTTTTTCTCCCTATTCTGACCACCCCTCCTCCTTCTTCCCAGACCTTCTGTACCCCTTGGCCCTGACCCACAAGATGGGGTGGCTGCAGCTCTTGGGGAGGATGTTTGTGCTCATCTGGGCCACGTGCATCTCTGTGAAAGAGGTGAGTGGCCACTCAGTCCTTCTGTACCATCCCTTACGGCGGGCAGGCGGCAGTGGGCCTGGCCTTCATCCTTGTCTGCTCTGCCATTACAGCTGGGGAGCTTTGGGGAGGCATTTCCATCCCAAGTCTTAGCTCTCTGAGTTGGAACAAATGAATAAAGCTGGCCTATCCTCCCTACTCCATCCATCTACTTCTCTATCCATCTTCCCAATTCTCCACCATTTACCCTCCCAGCCCCTCAGTGTCCATCCTCCTCTCCCACCCCCATTACCCATCCGATCACCTGCTGTCTTTCATGGAACCAGCCACTCATTCATTCGTTCATATGCCCACTCATCCTTATCGACCATCCTTCTATCCTTCATTCAACCATGTTTACATCCATCCATCCATCCATCCATCCATTTGTCTGTCCATTCATCCATCTGTCCATCCATCCATTCATTCAATGAATCAACCCATATAATCTGAACACCTTCTATATATGTGTGGCCCTGGAGGAGGTGATAGGGATGGGATGAGTTTACCATCTTTGAGTTCATAGCCTGGTGGGGGATATAGTATGGGCACAAATATCAAGACTTGACAGTAGACCAAACAAGACCCTAATCTGGGTTCAGATTAGTGTTCAGAGGAAGGGAGGTGAATTTTATCTGGGGCCAGGGGATGGCAGAGATGCTCAAAGGCAGACATGGCACTTATTCTAGTGGAGTAGGATTGGGCATGAGGACCATGGGGACAAGGTCACTACAGGGCGGGTGTGGGGAAGAGCATGAGCAAAGGTTCAGAGGCTGGATTTGGGGAATGGAAGGTAGCTGTACATTGTACTGCTTTGCAGATTCTGGGGTGAGAATGGGGTAAGGAGTGAGGGAGGTGAGATTTGAGGGTATGCCCATCTTCACTGTGGAGCTGCCTATGCCCCTCCAGGCACAGGTCCGCTTTCATATCCGTCACCTGGGCTCAAGCCGGGCCTTTGCACGTTCAGCCCTCACTGACTCTCGGTCCTGGGAAAGCACCTCCTGTTCAGCTCCCTCAGCGAGGGACATGAAGAGGGTGCCACTTTTCTCTCCTTCCTGGCCTTAGGGCTTTGTGATCTTCCTGCTGAGACCCTTTGTATTGTAAGTAGGTCTGGCGCCTTGGTTACCACCTCACAGGCGGGGCTGACGTTCTGTTCGGTGGCCACTGCATTCCCCTTGAACAAGCATCCCAGGCACTCTGCCACAGGGACACGCCAGAGATCTCCTCTCCCTCCCAGCAGGAGACACATGGATGCCAGTGGACAGGATCAGAAAAATTCAGGGCAGCCAGGCGCAGGGGCTCACGCCTATAATCCCAGTACTCTGGGAGGCCGAGGCGGGCGCATCACCTGAGGTCAGGAACCTGGTGAAACCCCGTCTCTACTAAAAATTAAAAAATTAGCTGGGTGTGGTGGCACACACCTGTAGTCCCAGCTACTCGGGAGGCTGAGGCAGGAAGAATCGTTTGAACCCAGGAGTCATAGGTTGCACTGAGCCAAGATTGCGGCACTGCACGCCAGCCTGCCTGACAAGAGCAAGACTGTCTCAAAAAAAAAAAAAGAAAAAGAAAAAAAAGAAAGAAGACTTCAGGGCAGTGCCCACCGTCTGCTGGTGGCAATGGCTGACTCCACCTGTCACAGAGCCCCAGGCAGAAGGCAGCATGGAGAAGGCAGGAGCAGGCTTAGTGTCCTGTTAGGCTTTGACAAAGGGATGTTCCAGTCGCATGGGGCCCTAAACCCCGTAGTTATGGGGGCCTAGAAGTTGCTGTCTGAGACCTGGGCAGATCAGGACTGGAGGGTACCTGAGAAATTATTGATCCTGTCTGTGGACATCATCAAAGCTCCCAGGGCAGGGAGGTGAGTCACTCAGAGTCACACAAAGCTCCAGCCCTTGGTCGTGTCCACTGCAAGCTAGTGCCGTGTTGATGATCACAGGGTCCTAGGCAGAGAGCCCAGCTCAGCAGCCTCTGCAGGAGCTCACGGGTAGCTGACATCACGGCGTGTGTGACCTCTGAATGAAAGAAGCTGGGATGCCTGGCCTTGCAGGAGCCCCCAGGAGTGGCTGGAGGGCAGGGCATGATGCCTCTTGGGCCACTTTGCAAAGAGCTCACGAGCCTGCTGAAGAGCATGGATTTGATCAGGGTAACAGGAGTTGGCAGAGGGTTTTCCAAGGACAGGTTTGCCAAGAAGCGAGAAGAGACTGGCGGGGAAGATTAGAGGCACTGGGTGTAGTCAGGCACCATTGTAATTTCTGCGGAAACGGCACAGTGAGAAGACTGTGGGGCGGGTAACTAAATGCCTAAGGGCGAGAGGGGCAAAAAGAGAAACCCATGCTCCGAAGCTCCTGGCCCAGCTTCCAGGGCTTGGTGGCCCAGGACCACCCTGCACGTGGCCTCGGGTGCCTGCTCCGGGCAGCCTCTGCACCGATCACTGTCCCACGTGCGAGTCAGGCCTCTGAGTTCTTCCCAGGCCCGTGCCCCGATGCAATTCTCCGTGCTCTGAAAACCCTCTGCCATGGGTCGGGTCTTCAGCAGCATCTGCCCTTTCTGTGAACGTCCAACGGCGTTTCTGACTGTGGCGCACGTGTGGCAGGCACAGAAAACGGACGGCCTTCCAGAGAACCGTCCAAAGGGCAGGCGCTGCCCCAGGGACTGAAGGGCCGCGCCGGGTACTGCACGTGGCGTCCGGGAGGTCGCCGGCCCGTCCAGAGCTGCCCAGTGACCTCCCGCACCTTCCGGGGGCCTCTGCGGACCTCGCCGCGATGGGCACGCCCCCGGTTTAGCGGGAAGCTGGGGGCAGGTTCAAGGCTGGGAGGAGCCGCTTCAGCCTGGGAATCTGAATTTTTTTCTTCAGACGCGCCTGTACCCACCACGGGTTTTTTCTGGGGAAAAACAGGAGATTAGTGCACTTCGCGTTTCTTTCCTTTAGATTTTCACAGCCACAGGCTGCAGGGCTGCAGGCCCAGGGCCGGAACTCCCACCTCACCTTCCCCCAGCCTCCACACCCGTCATCGTCATCGGGTTGGGGGCCGCGCCCTGGCGTCTCTGGAACGCCCTCCGCGACCCCCACAGCGGAGCACCTGAACCACCGCGGGGCACACCGGGAGGGCGGCGCAGGCGGGTAACGACACTCAGGCACCATATCCCAGACGCGCGTGGGCGGCGGCGGAAGCTGCTACCCAGGGAGCCACGCTGCGCGTCTACTTCCGGTGGGAGGCGGGGCCCGGAAGCAGGATCGGCGAATTCTGAGGCACCAGGTCGGAGTAGGGTGGAGTATGCCTGGCTGCCGGAGGTTAGCGGCACGCGGTGGCTGTCCTGTGAGCAGCAGGCTGGGTGTGGGGTGGGTGGCCGGCCAGCGCCGGTGACTGAGAGGCCAGTGGGCCCGGGGCGCCGGGGACGGGGTGGCCATGTAGAGCTGCCGCAGCTTCTTCACCAGGCTGGTGGTGGGCATGTTCGTGGTCTCCGTGGTGCACACCTGCTGGGTCATGTACCACATCGTCTACACCCGCCCATGCTCCGGCGACGCCAGCTGCATCCAGCCCTACCTGGTGCGGCGGCCCAAGCTGCAGGTGAGGGGCTGGGGGTGGGCGGGTTGGGGCGGGGGCCTCTCCTCCAAGCCCGGGCCGCTGCCGTCCCGTCCCCGCTCCAGCTGTGTCCCCGCCAGTCGAGATGGAACCCCTCCTGGTCCCCAGCGGCCAGGTCTTCCACCCCCGGCTGGCCGTGGGGTACCAGTGCGTCCTGCCAGGCTGGGCCGGGCCCAGCTGACGGCGTCCCCTCCTTTGCAGCTGAGCGTGTACACCACGACGCGGTCCCACCTGGGTGCCGAGGACAACATCGACCTGGCCTTGAACGTGGATGACTTCGATGTGGAGTCCAAATTCGAGAGGTATGAGCGAAAGACAAAGTGCCGAGAAGGGGAGACGATCACTGGTGTTTAGAGTGCGGAGGAGTCCGCTTTCCGTGCACAGCGTGTTACCTCGGAGAACTGGGAAGCGGTCGCACGTTTAACCGGAGGACTGTTCTCCTGGAAGGGGCGGGTGATGAAGTGTGGTTTGGGAAGCAGCTCTCGGCAGAGCCCGAGGCCGTGGGACGTGCTGCGGCCGAGACTCCAGAGGAGCAGGGGCCCCGCCCGGCCACCCGGTGCGGAGCAGGCAGCTTGTGCAGTTTCACTGCCTGGGACAGCTTGTCTTTTCCTGGTGGGAGTAGTCCGCTTAAGTTACTTGTGCAGGAAAGGGGATGAGGATGGAGGAAGCAATTTTGTAGAAAATCGTAGTTAAGTGACGTGTGACAGACATGAGAGGAGATAAGTGTCCAAATATGTAGCATAACTTAAAAAGTACATCTAACGTATGGTTTTTTTTAATTGCATAAGTATAATTTTAAGTATGATTTGCTTCTCACAACTCTACCATTTCCCTTCTTCATTGCCTGGGAGGTGTCTGAGGACAGAATCATGAAAGTCTGAGCCGCATGCTGGACTCAGCGCCCTCTAGGTGGCCAGTCACTGTGGGTACCTGGAGGCGGTGCCCTGGGGAGGCAGCAGTGCAGCACTGGCAAGCTGGGTTCTGCCAGCCTCTTTGCCAGTTACTGCCCTCTCTCTGCCTTGGTGAAATGGAGGCTGGACATGCTGGCTTGGGCACTTGTCAGTTGTGACTGCCCACACCTTTCAGAAATGCCCAGGTTACACTTGCATTGGCTTTAATTTCCCAAACATGAATGCTGCCTCTTCCGTGCTGGGCCCTGTACCAGTTACCAAGGACAGCTAGTGAGTTTACCATTTCCCCTGGCACAGCGCCAGCCTGGAGGAAGGGGGAGAATGAATGCTCTGACACAGTACCCCCTCAGCGTCGCCATGAGCACGTTCTCTGTAGGACTCGGGCACACAGCCCTGCCACCTGCCCCACCTGAAGAGACACTTAGAAGTCCTGGTGATGTACTGTCTTTCCTGGGTAGTGAGAAGCCCTAGATCCCTTTGCGTTTTTCATTAGAACTTTGGCAGTATGATATTTAAGGAGAGGCCGGGCACTCATGCCAGCAGTTTGGGAGGCCAAGGCAGGAGGATCACTTGAGCCCAGCAGTTCGCGACCAGCCTAGGCGATGTGACAAAACCCTATCTCTACAACAGTTTTAAAAGTTAGCCGGACGTGGTGGCATGTACACTGGTACCAGCTACTCGGGAGACTGAGGTGGGAGGTCACTTGAGCTTGGGAGGTTGAGGATGCAGTGAGCTATGATTGCACCCCTGCACGTCAGCCTGGGTGACAGCGAGACCTCATCTCAAAAAAAAAGATTTGTAAAGAGGGAGAGGAACTAATGTAATTACCCATAAATAGGTGGAATGCCTGGTTTTTCCATGGGACTGTAGTGTGGACATTGGGCCCTGGCGTGAAGGTAAAGAGGCGCCTGGTCTGAGGCCTACAGTTGTAGCAGCTCATTGGGCCTTTCCTCAGCTCACCCTGGATGCTAGCACAGGGCAGACAGGCTTCAAAGTCAGTCCTTTGTGGTTGATAATCCTTTTATCTTTAAAAATGCAACACCCCAAAAAACTATCCACATGAAATTTCCAAGACTTCAGTAGTGAACCGAAGCACATGGGCGCTTGCAGCTGCCTGTCCTTCGCTTCTCTGACTTCTGAGTTATGTTATTCGGTTTGCGTGGTCAACTGGTATCCTGGCCAGGCCCAGATGCTGCTTTCGTCTGGCGGCTTCAGCCCTGTGGCCTCAGGCAGGTCATTGACCTTACAACCTCCTGAGATGGAGGCAGGAAGTGTGGGCCCTCCTGCTTTCAGTTGTAGATACCCACACTCAGGATACACACACCCAGGACTCGTAAAACCCCAGGCAGGTGGGTTTCATTTTTAGTACTTCTAGCTAAAATTAGTTGATTGAAACAGCTTTATAAAGATAATTGAATAGTCTCTAGACACAGAATGTAATATGGATGCAGTGGAAAGGATTGTTCGTTCTGTTTCAGGACAGTTAGTGTTTCTGTACCAAAGAAAACAAGAAATAACGGGACACTGTATGCCTACATCTTCCTCCATCATGCTGGGATCCTGCCATGGCACGATGGGAAGCAGGTGCACCTACATGGTCCCCAAGCCGGAAGAATCAACCTGCTCACTGGGGAATCTGATGCACAGGTGAGGTTCTTCATGGATTACTGAGAGAACAAACAGGCTTTGCCTCCGTGTCAGAACTGACGTCTCTTTCTCCACACAAGCAGGCAATGTCCAGGGCTCCAGCGACTTTGTGGGGAGCAAAGCCTTTGGAATGTTACTGACATGCTTTTTTCACTTTCGGCTGAATCATATCCATGAGTTCGCAGACAAGTTTGATCTACAATTAGGGACAGTTGAAGTGATACTGGCATTCTTTATGCAGAGTCCCTCAAGGGTGGGCCCTCTCAGTCTCTGGGGGTACCTGCCTCCTGGTGGGATGGGGTGTTGGTCCCACAGAGCGGGCTTGCAGCTTCTCATCAGGAACTCATTCTGCATTATGTGTAGGACTGGGCTCTTCCTAGATTTTATTCTAAGAATATAACTCAAGATTATGGAAAGAGTAGCAGTACAAGGTATAGTTTGTACATCTGTAGAAAGGCGTGTGTACAAAGAAAAAGTGGAAGTCACTTCAGTGATCATTAACACGGGCCAAGGATAAAGCAAGGGAATTCTGATACCCACCTCTGTTGAGTGGAAGGTGAGATAAGTTACAGAACAAGACTAGAGCCTGTAATCCCAGCACTCTGGGAGGCCGAGGCGAGGGGATCACCTGATGTCAGGAATTTGAGACCAGCCTGGCCCACATGGTGGACCCCCATCTCTACTAAAGATATAGAAATTAGCTGGGTGTGGTGGTGGGTGCCTGTAATCCCACCTACTCCGGAGGCCAAGGCAGGGAATGACTTGAACCCGTGAGGCGGAGGTTGTGGTCAGCTGAGATGGCACAGCTGCATTCCAGCCTGTGTGGCAGAGCAAGACTCCACCTCAGAAAAAAAAGAATTTACAAAACAAAAATGGCAGCTTTCCAGGAAGAGGCTGTGAAATTGTTCCAGAGTGCAGTGTCTCAGGGTTGATGGGGTTTTGGAAGCTGCCAACACCTGCTCCTGCCTCTCGGTGCATGTCTGTGTCTTCTTGGGAACATCCCTCACCTTCCGCCCTCCATGTCATCCTCACCTGGGGCTGGCCTCCCTCCTCACCAGCATCCTGAAGAGTGGGTGGGGTGTTGGGTATGGAGCATGCAGCACAGGGAGCCTCCTTTAAAGGTGGCAAATGTAAGGAGGTGTGAAAAGCCTTTCTTTTTTTGAAACGGATTCTTGCCCTGTCACCCAGGCTGGAGTGCAATGGCGCGATCTCACCTCACTGCAACCGCCACCTCCTGGGTTCAAGCGATTCTCCTGCCTCAGCCTCCTCAGAAGCTGGGATTACAGGCTTGTGCCACCACACCCAGCTGATTTTTGTAATTTTAGTAGAGATGGGGTTTCCCCATGTTGGTCATGCTGGCCTCAAACTCCTGACCTCATGATCCACCTGCCTCGGCCTCCCAAAGTACTGACATTATAGGCATAAGCCACCATGCTCATCCTGAAAACCCATTTTTAATGTAAATTATTGCTAAACTGTACCTATCGTTGGGAAATGGGTAGGGCCATAGTGTGTCCAGGGATGTGTCAGGTCTGAAATGAGCTCAGATTCCCTGTCAGTGGGTGCCCTTCTCCATGTCACTTCATCGGAGAGCCACGCACCATCCTCGGTGTGTCTCTGTTAGGGCAACCCAACGTGCCGACCCCTTCTGGCTCCTTACAGCTGCAAGGCTGTGTTAGCCTTGGATTTGTACAGTCTTCTACCAGGGTCACGGGGCTCTTGCCCTTCTCAGCTTCCAAGAAGTGGGCCCACTTAGTTTGGGAATCTCAAAAAAGAAATTGGTGAGACCCGTGACCACGGATTGCAAAGCAGCACTCCTTGGCTTCCATGGAGATAAGGATGGGGGTGTTTGGTGAGAATCTGGGGGAGTCGGCAGCTGTGGGGCTGCAGTGCCCTCCGCTGGACTCCTTCCCCAGTCATGCCCGTCTGCGTGGCTGCCCTGTTCATAGGTTGTGGTGCTGACCACCTGCTGTCCTGGGCATGGTTTTCCCGTCTGTGTGGCCGTTGCTGTGCACCTGTCCCAGGTACCTGTTGTGCCCGTCTGCATGGCAGTGTTGTTCACAGGTTAGGGTGCTGACCACCTGCTGTTTGAGCACAATATTCTGTCCAAGCATTGGCCTCTGTTTTCCTCACTTAGCAGCAGATAGAGGAGGAGAGGAAGCCAGCGAGCGCCCTGGATGAGCCTGTGTTTCACTGGAGACCGTGGCTGGCGCTGAATGTGATGGCGGACAACTTCATCTTCGACGGGTCCTCCCTGCCTGCCGACGTGCATCGGTACATAAAGATGTAAGTGAAGCCCCAGAGCTAGAGCACCAGGAGGGGTCACTGGAACCCTGGCCGGCCAGAACCTGCCAGCAGGTCACTGTGTCCTGGAGCCCCTCTGTGGCAAGGCACTGGCTGCCTTGGGCACCCCAGCTCCTCCCACTTCCTGGTTGAGGTTGTGCTGCTAGCGCAGGGTTGGAAGGGAGAAGAAAGGAGTTCAGGCTGCAGCATCCTGCTCGTTGCTCCTGACTTCAAAGGCTTCCACGGAGAGAAAATGGAAGGTGCTGACGGGAATGTGTTGCTTTGCTCCCCTTGTGATTGTTTAACTTGGCTCGTTTAGATTCACTTGAAAGTTAATCTTTAGATCTTTAGTATCACTTACCATCAGTTGAATATGATTACTGGAATTCACATGTTTGGCTGACCGAGCTCACCCCGTCTCCCATGTGTTGGGGAGCCCCCCACTCTTGAGCTGCAGGTCCACCTCCCGGGTAGCTGCAGGTGACTTGTCCCTCCAAGCGTAATGGCCATGTCTTGGGACTGCTCTGTGTCAGTGCACAGAGGGCCCTGGGCTCCGCTGTGCAGCTGTGTCCCTGGAGTTCCCCCACTCCTCCCACCTATGCCCATCACTTCATGAGGAGTGGGTCTCACAAGTGTGTGTGCCTTGTCAGGCTCTCTGCCTCCTTTTTGGAAGGCTGTGCCCAGGGGTCACTGTGACTGAGAAGCTGTTGAGGGTAGGTCCGGGAGTACTTCTCTGGGGTAAATGTGGTGTCTGGATGTGTTGATTCATCAGAAGGTGAGAGCCTTGGCTCTGACTTTAGAAAGTTGTGCTTTAATCCCAGGATCCAGCTCGGGAAGACCGTGCATTACCTCCCCATTCTGTTTATCCACCAGCTCAGCAACCGCGTCAAGGACCTGATGGTGAGCGATGCCTCTGCCCACTGGTAGTGCAGGTGGCAAGACACTGACCCCCAAGACTGGCCGCATCACCCCAGAATTTTAATGGACAGGGCCATCGCTGACACTTGGTGTGGAGCTTTCGCCTGTGCTGGGAAGCACTGCCTTCAGGCATACGAGGGCTGTGACGGGGCCTGGGGGTGTGTCGGCTTTGCTGTTAGCTGGCTACGGGGTCCCCCTGAGCCTCTGGATCCTCACTGGTGAGAAGACCTGAAAGTTTGTTTATGTGGCACTTAGAGGGCAGGCGCCTGAGTGCCGTATGAGACGGTGTCTGCGTGTGAGCTCCTGGTGTGCTGTGTAGTTTAACTCAGAAAGTGTTTTGAGCAAACTCCTGCTTTCCTGCCAGGGCTGGTCCTGCACAGGGGGCCAGAGGAGTGGGTGACAGCGCTGCCTGGGAACTGCAGCTCCTGAGGTGGCCCCTGGCAAGGCAGAGAGACCTATGCGGAAGAGAAGTGGCTGCCCTCTGGGCTCCGGCGCCCCATGGTTACGGGATTGACAGCGCCAGTTCTCCCAGGGTTGCTTTGAGGGTAGAGGAAGTGTGGCCAACATGTGACCTTTAATAAAAGCAGTTAGTATTTAAAGTCCCTCACTTCACATGTGGCACTGTGCTAAGCACTTTATGAATGTTCCTGTGATCGTGGTGCTGGGAGCTGTGGCATTGTTTCACGGGTGAGGTTATAGTGCTCAGAGGTTAGTGCTCAGCTAGGACCCTACAGGACTCGCCACCCTGCCCCGCCTCCCTGCAGGCCATCACTGTCACTCCGGGGTGCCCACTAGGAGCCAGGCCACGTGTTCTTTCACTTGCAGCTTTGAGTAGCTCTGAGGCAGGCCCTTTTTCTGTTTTTGTTGAGGAAACAGGCTTGGGGAGGGCAGGGAGCTTGCTGGGGTGTGCAGCTGGGACACGGGGGAGCGGGTACCTGGCCACTTGGATCTGCCCAGGCCCTGCTGCCTCCTGATGACTGTGGCTCTTGGAACAGTTCCTCTATCTGGCTGTCCCTCAGACCCCTCTCAGTTCCTAACATACTGCCTCCTTCACTTCAGCAGGCCCTGACCACTGCTGAAGGCTGGGGGGCCGGGCAGGCAGTGGCCGGCGAGCGGGTCTGGTGGCTCCAGCCTCTCCCTGAGCAGTTTCTCTCTTGGCCCCTGCAGTTCTAGCGCCTTGCTCTGTTTGCTGGAGTTTGCTGAGGTGCAGCTTACAAACCTCAGGACATAGCAGGTTTTGCTAAAACGCACCATGGGGAGCTTTGGAAGCTGCGGCACCTGCCCGTGGTGGCTGCCTGTGAGGCCTCGTGCTGCTGACTCCTCGCAGTCATTCAGGAAACAGTGGACAGGGATGGGCAGCTGCAGAAGGCTGTCCTGTGTGTCTGCAGATCGGGGCAGCTCTGTGGCGCACCTGTGTCAGTGGAGGCCTACGTTCCAGTGGTTGGGGAGGCGTGTCGGCAGCAGCTTTCCCTCGAATCACAGTGGCAGGTGTCACTGTTGCTTTTTCTCACTTGGGGCCAGTTTTGAGGGGTGCTGTCTTGAGACAGGAAGCAGGCAGCTGGGATGCAGCAGGCACAGCAAGTTGGCGCCTTCTGTGGCTGGGCCCAGCAATGCCAGACGAAGCCTTGGGCAGTGGCATTTCTCAGACATGCTTGGCAGCTCGAGGGGTTCTTGGAGGCCACTGTCCACGTGCACTGATGCTGGTTGGCTGTGTAGGGTGCCCTGACAGCTGGCAGCTGCTCTCAGAACAGCCTGGCACCTGCTGGTTGTGGCTCTGATTTCCACCACACCCTTGATCCCAGCAGTGCATGCTGGGATGGGTCAGGACCTGAGGCAGGGCAGGTGGATCAGAGCACAGCCCTTGCCGGATGTACCAGCACGTGGAGGGAGAGTGGTTACTGCCTCTTGCTGTAGCGGCTTGCCCTCATGAAGCCACTTCTTTCCCTCCTGCCTTTGTGCCCTGGGACCTAGCCCACAGCCTGTGTGCCTAAGGCCCTGGTGGGCTGCAGGACTAAGCTCATGGTTCTGAGGCCCACATGTTGGTTCTGCATTCCAGAAGCTTTCTTTTATCCCTTGGCCACCCCCTGCACCGTGCGTTAGGTCTTGAAGACACTTTGCCCATGTTTTGCAGGGGCTGTACGTGTCCCATGGTCTCTGGTTCCTGGGATGGGCCGGGGCTCTGTAAGCCGTGCTTGGCATTGTATGCTGTGCCACGGATTTCTAGCACCACCCCCGGGGCACCAGGACTTGTGCCACTTAGAAATTGAAGGGGCACGCACAGCAGAACCTACCAGGCCCTGCTAGCACTTCTGAGCTCACGGGGTCTGGTGGTGGGGGCCTGTTCGTGCCGGGTTGTGGTGCACTGGGGCCTGGGTCACATGGTTACAGGAGGGACCCAGGGACGCTTGCTGGTCCTGGTCATGGCTGACCTGGGGCCACCCAGGGATGGGAATGGGGATAGCAGGGTCGGCCAGGGCTGCTAGGTGGCTCGCTATAGGAGAATGAGGGGAGAGGCCCGAGACTGGCTCAGTCACATGCTGCTCCTCAGTGTGGCTCTCTTCCTGCAGGTCATAAACCGCTCCACCGAGCTGCCCCTCACCGTGTCCTACGATAAGGTCTCACTGGGGCGGCTGCACTTCCGGATCCACGTGCAGGACTTTGTATACTCCCTGCAGCAGTTCGGTGCGTGCCCCATGGCCAGTGCCTGGATGAGGCTGCCCTGGGACCCCTCAGGTGTCCAAGTCCTGACACAGGCCGGGACCTTTGTGCCTCCGGGTGCAAATCCTTGCAGAGACATTGAACTGGAGGTTCCTCAGTGCCCACCTCATTCCTTTCTTTGGAAATGGCCTGGTTGACTGTTTGCAAGTTGGGTTTATTAAGAACATAATGTGTGAAATGCCGTGATTTTGGTCAGATGAACCTTAACTACTGGCAAGATTTAATTTTCTTTTTTTTGAGATGGAGTCTCCCTCTGTTGCCCAGGCTGGAGTGCAGTGGCGTGATCTTGGCTCACTGTAATCTTCGCCTCCCAGGTTTCAGGCGATTCTGGTGCCTTAGTCTCCCCAGTAGCTAATATTACAGGTATTTGCCACCACACCTAGCTGAGTTGTATTTCTGGTAGAGACGAGTTTTCGCCATGTTGGCCAGGCTGTTTCAAACTCCTGACTTCAGAGCACCCGCCTCAGACTCCCAAAGTGCTGGGATATCAGGTATGAACCACTGTGTCCAGCCTACATTTTTATATTGAAAACTGTATTTGTAATGTTAGGTAGGATTGGCATGGCCTGTTTTACATTGTATGTTCTTTTCCCTTGGCAGGGTTTTCAGAGAAAGATGCCGATGAGGTGAAAATTATTGTAGATACCAACTTGTACTTCCTGGCACTGACCTTCTTTGTCACAGCATTGCATGTGAGTCCTCTGCCGGGAGCAGTGGGCGTGGGCTCTGGGGAGGCTCCCTGGGCCCCGAGCCTCCCATAGGGCCTCTTAACCTGGGGTTTGTGTCCAGCCCTGTGGCCCTCAAGCATCCTCTCCCGTCACTCAGCAGCCAGCACACCTGACACTTGGCAACCACTGTCCCAGTGGACGGTTTCTCCCAGTTCTGAAAAGGGGGTCCCATAGAGCTCCATCCACAGCCTTGGGGACTTGGTTTGTGCTGGCTTTGGGGGCGGTTTTGGAAAGCGGATCCAGAGCACTCTGAGCAGTGTACACAGCAGTGAGATGAATAGGCACAGGTGTCTCCCTCTCCCTGCCTAGGCCCTGGCCCCGGCTCCACACACACCCATGCTGAGCTGGGCAGCCTCCCGCAGAAAGCAGCTTTCTTGTATTTTAAACTTAAAAAGTCAGTTCTGTGTGTGTACAGTAGTGTCCCTTATCGTCAGGCGATATATTCAAAGACTGTCAGTGGATGCCTGAAACCAAAACCTGAAGACTGGTTTATCCTGCGTTTATAAGTTAATATATTCATAGTGCTCATGATAAAATTTCACATTAAGTCAGGCACAGTACGAGGTTAATGATAACTGGTAACAGACAGGTATGACAGTGTACTGTAGTAAATGACATGGGTGTGGTCTCACCCTCGGAATGTCTCATCACTGCTCCGTGGGCACCCGAAGCCACACCACAGACAGCAAACCATAGGGGCAGCCAGGCTGCTGTGCTCCTCTGTGTGTCGTGGAGTTGAGCTGCTGGAGGAGTGCCGTCTTGTGGCTGTTAGGCTGGCCTGTGGTGAGGCTGGAAGGGGAGGAGCCACCCAGGAGTGCTGCGAGCACCAGTTCTGAATGCCTGGGAATTCGGCTCTCAGAGAAGCTCAAACTTCCCAAAGCCATGCTGGAGAATTAAATGATTTCTATAAAAGGTTACTGTGTGTAAGGAGCTCGAGCATGCTTGGGTTTTTTAAGACTCTGTTCTGAGACAGTTCTCACTATGTTGCCCAGGCTGGTCTCAAACACCTGGGCTCCAGCCTTGCTTGGCCTTGCTGTAGCTGGGACCACAGGCATGGGCCACCAACCGCAGCCGCCCTGCGTTTTTAGCACAGTTGAGAGGCAAGGCTGCCCTGCGTAGCCACAGCCTGAGAGCAGGGTCGGGGCACCCCGCTGGCCCCAGGCTCCAGCGGAATCCAGAGCCTCCACTTCCGGCAGGCTTTCCAGCAGTTCCAGTCGAAGATGTGTTTATTTCACAAGTACCCCTGCGAAGCCCACCTTGGCATTCTAGGTTCTGACATGGCAGGCGGGCGCGTAGAGGTGTGGGTCCTGGGTGTGGGATCTATCCTGATGTGTCCTCAAGCTGGGCACACCTGCAGTCTCACGGTCACACATGAGACCTCTGTGTCTCTCACAGGAGATAGAAACAACTAGAGATGCAAGTTGCTGTTCTGTCTGTTCTCTCTAGCTTCTCTTTGATTTCCTGGACTTTAAAAACGACATCAGTTTCTGGAAGAAAAAGAAGAGCATGATTGGCATGTCCACCAAGGCAGGTAGGTGCCCCACGCATGGCCCTGCTCAGGCACACTCTGCCCTGGGGGAGCTCACTGGAGCGAGCCTGCGGTTGATGGCTGGTGGCTCAGACAGCCCCAGTAGTACCTGCTTGGTTCTTGAGAAGCCTCTGAGATCAGGTAAAACCCAGGGAGCCTTGCTGCAGTTGTGGTGTGACCTTGGCCTTGCCATAGCTGGGACCACAGGCGTGGGCCACCATGCCCAGCCTCCCCTGCTTAGCACAGTTGAGAGGTAGGGGGCCCGAGTGGGGAGAGAGGGGTCCTCCTGACCTTGCAGAGGTGGGGGTTGCCACCATGGGGTTGGGGGCAGTGTCAGGACGGGTGAGGGGTGATGGGTGTGAGAACGAGCAGTGGGTATGTCCTTTTGGTTAGGAGTGAGGAGTGTTTGGCTCCACTGTCAGGCCCAGATGGGTTTTCTCACCTAGAAAAGATGCCCAAGCAGGTGGTCCTGGGTGCTCCGGGGCCCTGCTGTGCTCCGGGCTGTTGTCTCCTAACCCTCGTGCCTTTCCAGGCGTCCCAAGCTGGGGTGTCCAGCTGTGGCCATGACCACCATTTGTCATGTGGCTCCCCGGCATCTGCTTCCCCTCCTGCCCTGGGGGCACTCGGGGGGAGGGATGTGTGAATGAGGTAGGGTGATTCTTGAGGCACAGCTGGGGAGGAACGAAGTACAGGCTTGAGAAACTGCATGAGTTTCGCAGAACCGGCATAAAACCGGACTGGAAGCAAAGCCGTGGGGCCCCGTCATCCAACCTCAGCCCACGCTCCACGTTCATTTGCAAGTGTGGCTCAGATGCGTGCTTGTGGAGCTGATGTGGGGCAGCCTTCAAGACACTGTCCTGGCTGCTGAATGGTTCACTGTCCTTAAACAGATGACATGGTCTGGGAGTACCTGAAGGTGCTTGGGTGTGGAGGGTTGGGAGGGGGGCGGGGATATGTATGCTTGTGACTTGGGGGGCACAGGCGGGGTTTGCCCTGCACCCCCCCAGTCCGACTGTCCTGTCCCCAGTGCTCTGGCGCTACTTCAGCAGCGTAGTCATCTTCCTGTTCCTGCTGGATGAGCAGACGAGCCAGCTGGTGCTGGTCCCGGCCGGCAACAGAGCCGCCATCGAGGTGAGTCCCAGCCGATGACCCTCAGCATACGCAGGAAAGGCTTTGATCTGCGGAAGCCTGGAGGCTTGTTCCCTATGGTCTGTGTTCTGGAAGCTGTGGGATGGCAGGCAGCAGCTTAAGGGCTTTGAACAAGTGGAGAGCAGGGAAGTGGGCATTCTGAGGGAATCAGGTCACGAGGCCCCGCCACCAAGGAAAATGTTTTCACATGCTTAAGAAATCCCACCCTCTGTGAAGCAGAGATGTGAACTGAGGCCTTAAAAGGCTGCTGCTTTGGCTGATATCTGAGCATCGTGGCCAGGTGGGCAGTGATGGAAGTCACCTAGTGCCCTGGTTCCAGCCTGGTTGGGAGCTCACAAAAGGGAGCCTCATTGGGCAGGGCCAACTTGGGAGCAAAACCTTGAGTGGGGTGATAGCCTTCAGAGTGAGAAGTCCCTGACTCTGCCTAGCTCCTCCGTCAGCTTCTGTGCCACCCGCGGGGAGCCAGAGTTTGAGGGCCCATAGCTGATGGCCCATCGTGGGTGGGGGCCTGTGTGGCCATATGCCTTTTGAGGAGCTGGATTAAATGGCGCTGGGGCACCACAGGCAGAGGGCCCTCCATAGGCACGAGTCACAGTGCTGAGCCCATCTCAGGCACTAGTCCTGAGCTTTGTGAGTGATACCGGCCAAGGATATGACACAGGCTCCAGGGCTGCCTGGGTACCAGGCAGGAGGAGGTGGGGGCTGACTTGGGTGCAGGCACGTGGCTTAGAGAACCGCACTTGTGTGCCACTTTTGTCTGCCAGGCAGTGGCGGTGGAGCCCACCTGATCAGGTACACCTGCTGGGCATGGATTAGAGGCCCAGGTCCAGCCTGAGCTGTGGGAGGGCAGGAAGAGGCAGTGGGTCCTGTCCATTACTGTCTGTGTCATTCGTTCTGGGTCTCCTGGCCTTGAAATATTAAAGGAGCAATTTCCCGACTTCCCCCTCAGCTATGGAAAGTGAAAAAGGCATTGAAGATTACTGTTGTTTGGAGAGGCCTGAGGCCTGAGTTTCGGGTAGGAGCCCTCTCTGAAGATTCTGTGGTTTTCCCTGGGCACAGAGTAGGGTGCCGTCAGCAGATAACTCCCTGCGGCCTCTGTCCGGGGAGCCTCTGAGGTGGACGCTGCACCGGTTTTCCAGTCTCAGCTGCTCTGTTCACCTGAGGATTCCCCCACCCTGTACCTACTTCTGACCCTCTTCAGTGCAGACGGCCAGCACTTCCGGGCCTGAGACAGCCTCTGGAAGAAACGATGCTGGCTGGCCAGTGCGGATGCTTCAGTTTGGTACCTTGCCTAGAGGGCACTCACTAGGCTGGTGCTGACTGGGGTCAGTACAGGCCCGACGATCCCCAGTGAGCGAGCCTCTGCCCTGAGCTGGTGGCTGCCCCAGTGCCCAGCACTGATAAGGCCCCCAGGCAGATGAGGGCTGGGCAGAGCCGGAGTTGAGACTCCACCCCCACAGACAGACCTTGATTGCAGCAGGCCCCCAGCAGTCACAGCCCCGCTTTTCTGTGCTGTGGGCAGAGGGAGGGCAGAGAGCCCAGCAGATGGGGCACAGCCACTGTGTTCCTCCCGGCTGGCTGGTTCAGAGCAGGGTCAGGTGTGACTGTGCACTCTGTGATGTTCTCACTGAAGTGTCAGCACTGAAAACAGAGCTGCCACTCAAGGAACATGAATGAGGCCACGCTGCCCCCACTTGTGTGGCTTGCGGGACCCAGGGCCAGGGTGAGGCGGGAAGGGTCCCTGCAGATCCCTGTCCTCGGGTCTCCTCGCCTGGTCAGGACTGGAGCGCCATCTGTGGCTCTAAGGACCAGAGCCTGGGTCAGCTCTGCAGCCGTGTGTGGGGCTCCTTAGTCACAGCTCAGCTGTGCTCAGATACCTTTCCTGAGTCTGCTGACATCACTGTGTTTCATCTCACAACAGTTCGGCACTTACAGTGAGTCTGAGAGGAAGACCGAGGAGTATGATACTCAGGTAAGTCCATGCAATTTGCAGCACATGCATGCCAGGCAAATCCAGCGCCCTTGGAGACAGGGCTCATGCTATTGCTGCTCACAGCAAATCTCCGTGGAGTGCGGGGCAGCCCACCCTGAGCAGGTATCCGGAGAGCAAACACGTAAAAGCCACATTTCTTATTGGGAAGGGCATGGCTCCCAGATACTCATTCCCCGGCCCTTGCGGGCACAGCCTACAGCAGGACGTTTTCATCCTTTGTGAGTCACGTTCGCCAGGCAGCTGGCACAGGCCGTGGTTTCTGCTGTGATTGCTGTTCCCCACTTGCTGTCAGCAAGCCCATAACAGCCGCGGCAGCACAGTGGCCTAGAGAGAGGGCCCCAGCTGCCTGGGTGGGGTGCTGGCCCTGAGCTGACAGGGGTCCTGGAGCCCCAGCCTCTGCTGCCCAGCGCAGGGTGTCGCCTTTCCTCATTGCTGTTGGGGGAGCTGGAAGTCTCAGTTTGATTTAATAGAACGTTTCTGCACAGGAATGAGTTTAGTTTGGTTTAATGTCCACCAGTTTCTATAAAACATGTATTGAGCTCTAAAGCTGAAATCAGAGTAGATAGAGCTAGTGATTCAACTGCGTTACTTAGAAGGCAGTTTTTCCATATCTTTCTATTCTGTGTATTGGTCTGTTGTGGGCCGGTTGTTTTTGACCAGGCAGAATCGATCCGTTATTGTGAGCTAGCGCCTGGAGTACACCTGGGCTGTGGCATGTGAGGTGCCTCTTGGGGCTGTGGTGCATGCGCAGTGCCCTGCATGCCGCCCCTGCCCAGCAGCCCTGCCACCCCAAGTGCTGTCGCCTGTTCTGTCTGTCCCCATCGTAGTGAGTTCCGTGCAGTGCGTTTACAGAGACTTGGCGTTTGGGACTCTAACTGGAAGCCGCTTTGTTCCCTGCAGGCCATGAAATACTTGTCCTACCTGCTGTACCCTCTCTGCATCGGGGGTGCTGTCTATTCACTCCTGAACACCAAGTATAAGAGGTAGGAGGCTGCACACAGTACACCTGCTGCACCTTCCCCCTGAGAAATCCACCTGGATGACTGAGAGCACTGCTCCCAGAGGGCCAGCGCGGGGCCAGGGCACTTGGGCTAGCACCTGGGAGGGGGCCCAGCCCCTGCCACCACATATGGTGGGCCCTGGACCTCAGTGTCCTCCCCACTAAGGTGTAGTTGACGAGAGGCTGACTCTGGCCACCAGGCTTCCTGGGAGGTTCGGCCCTGAGTTGAGAGGTGTCCCAGAGCCCCTGGACTCTGCTGCCGGATTGGGGTGCTGGCCCTGAGTTCCTGAGTTGAGCAGGGTCTCGGAGCCCCCAGCCTCTGTTGCCCAGGTGGGGTTGCTGGCCCTAAGCTGAGAGTCCCAGAGCCCTCTGCCTCTGGTTCCCCGGGTTGGGGGCTGACCATGAGCTGAGAGGGTCCTGGGGCCCCCGGCCTCTGCTGCACGGGAGGGGGTGCTCTGTGCTGTTCCCAGCCTGAGACCCAGGCTCTGCCCTGCTGGCCAGCTGCCTTGAGAGCACCTGGGTGTTTTTAGAGGATTTTTAATGAAGGAGTTGTTTTTAGTCAATTTAATACAGATTCTAAGCTATGCGAGAAATGGGACTTTTCAAAGTTACAACTCAATTTTTTTCCATTTCAGCTGGTACTCCTGGTTAATCAACAGTTTTGTCAACGGTGAGTTCTTGTGCTTCCCTGCTTCAGTCGCACTGTTTACAGCAGGCACCAACTTAATTGTTCTTGCATTGAACCCAGTGTGGCAGACACCCCTGTGATTTGAGGCTGATCCCTCCCCACCCCGGGGGTTCAGGCACCTCTGCAGTACCCAGGGCTCCCCCAAGGCTGTGAGCAGATAAAGCCCTGTGTGGCTTCAGAACACTGACTGGTTCTGAGAAACAGGTCCTTGTACAGCGGCGGGAGTGTTCTTAGGCCCAGATGCTGCAGCCCACTCCATGCCAGCCCGAAACATGTGGTCCATCTCGGATCAAAACATCGTCGTGTGGTGCGGGACTGTTGTCTGTTTTCTTCATGAAAACAAACTTAAGCATTAAAACACCACCATCCGCATCTGGTTCCTTAGAACAAGTGGAAGCACCAGGCCCCGGTGCACAGCAAGCCCCTCCTGCACATGTGCTGTGGAGACCCCCATGGGGCCCTGGGAGGCCACATGTCCTGGGAGGCCCACCCGCCGGCCCCCACCTGCCCCAGGTGGCACTTTCAGCTGCATGGCTGCTGTGTGCCTCCCCTGCCCTACCAGACCAGCCCTGATTGCAGCTTTGTGGTCTCTCTGGGAAGTGATCTCATGAGCATTAAGGGCGAGGGCCTGTCTGCTGCAGAGCAGGTGGGTCCCAGACTGCCATCCTCCTGGGTGAGAGTCCCACATTTGACCCCTGAGGTGAGAGCTTGTGGGTCAGGAGGCCATGTCCTCACAGCCCCAGGGTGCTCCAGTGCCCACACTCACTGGACCCCACGGACAGCAGTTACACCAATTAGTAAATAAAAGAGCTTTGCTCTCCAAAGTGGTCGTAGACTCTTGATAAACTTCCCAGCTAGAGAGCTGCTTCACAACACTAGGAACTCTGAAGTTGTCTGGCTAGCAGGCCTTGTTTTCTGCCCATTCTGCTTGGATGTGGCAGCCCAGCCCTCCACGCCCGTGAGTGCGGTCTTTCTGCAGGGGTCTATGCCTTTGGCTTCCTCTTCATGCTGCCCCAGCTCTTTGTGAACTGCAAGGTAAGGCGGCGCATGCTGCCCGCGGCCCACACCCCTTCTCCCATGCTGTCTGCAGCTGACCTGTGCCTGTCTCTCCTGTTTCAGTTGAAGTCGGTGGCACATCTGCCCTGGAAGGCCTTCACCTACAAAGTGAGTGCAACAGCTGTTGAGGAGTCCCTTCTCACTGAGCAGAGCATGAGCAAGGGCATCTTCCAGCCCACAGCATTGCAGGGGGCCGCCTCTGCCCAGAGTGCCTCTGCAGGCATCCCTGGCACTGAAAAATATTGAGGAGGCTCCTTCAAAAACAGTGAGGAGCCGTAGAATAACTTCAGACCTGAAGGGCTGGGTTCTCTCACTTGGGGTCACAGATTGGGTTTTTTTAGTTTTTATGTTTCTTCTTAGCAAGTGTGTCAAGACACAGACCTGTGGCCTAGTGACTAGTGCCTGGGGACAGTGGATTCAGGCTTCCCAGGCAGGAATGAAGTCCCATGGGTCATGGCCATTCCCTGCCGCAGAGCCATGGAGGCCCCTTTGGCTCCATGGGATTAGAAGTGTTTAGTGTTGCGGGCAGAGCTGAGTTAGTGCGATGGGATTCTGACTTTTCTGAAGTCAGCTACAGACTCCAGAGGAAAGGGCAGTGCCCAGGCGGTCAGGCAGCTCTGCGCTTGGCTCTGGTTTCAGGCCCTTCTCTTTGGGTTCCCCGACGAGGGCGTCTGGGCAGAGCCTATAGGCATCAGTTGCCCATGGCTGCGGGGAGCCCAGTGCCTCTTCAGTTGCTGGTTTTCTGCTCTTTTTGGGAGGAGTTTCAGTTAGAATCATCTGCCAAAAGCTGTTTGCTTGGTTAGGTCACCAGAAACAGTAGGGTTCCATCCCCAACAGCTGGGTTCTCCCTTCTCCCGTCTGGCCTCCATCCCCAGCAGCTGGGCTCTCCCTCCCCCATCTGGCCTGCAGGCTTTCAACACCTTCATTGAGGACGTGTTTGCCTTCATCACCATGCCCACGTCTCACTGGCTGGCCTGCTTCTGGGACGATGTGTGTTTCTGGTCGACCTGTACCAGCGGTGGTGAGTGCACTGGGCTCCTGGGCCGTCTCGGCCATGTGGCCCTGCTGCTGAATGGACGGCACCTGTTCTTGCATTTGGGGAGAAAGATGATTTGCAGGTGGTGGTTTTCCCTGTGTTGCCTGAATTTGGGCTCCAATTGCCCATCATGCAATGCGGCAAGAACCTTCCCGCTGTCTCCTCACTGTGCTTTAGAAGTGTGAGTTTCTAAATGGGAGTGTGAATTATTGATTAGCCACAGAAGCAGGTTTCTCTCCTTAAGCTGTTTACCTGTTCACTGCCATTGCTGTCGAGCAGAACAGAAACCGTGGCATGGCTTAACTCTAACTCATGCCTACTGCTAGCCTCGAAGTGTCCAGCTGGCTGTCCTGGGGCCCAGGTCTCCAGTGCCAGGAACAGGCTCTGGGCCACTCCTTCCTGGGCTGTGTCCTTGCAGGGCAGAACATCACTGGAGAACTTGCTCACACCCCTTAAACCAGCCACGAGTGCCTCTGAAGACTAAATTGTGTGGACCTCCCAGCTTGACCGTCAGGTTGAAGGCTGACAGCTATGCAGAGGCTCAGGCCCTACCCTGGGCCTCCCAATTCCCTTCCAGGGCTGACATCTGATCTCTCGGTCAGCAGAAACTGCCTCCAGCTCTGTACCTTGCTGGTGGTAGGCGCCAGGGATCTGGGGTGTCTCTTGGACAGGGCTCACCTTGGGCAAGGGGGTATCCCCACCCCTGCAGGTACTGCCTTCACCTCCAGTCCTGGCCCAGGGTATTGTTCCGGAGTGGAAGGAGTGAGTGTCATGCCCAAGGCCTGCTACCAAGTGTTTTAGAGCTTCTTGGCTGTGTCCTTTCTCTGGCCCTTGAGGTTCCCTCTTCATCTCCCCATACCAGGAGGCAACCACTGACCCATCGTGGCCGTGGCACTTCCCTGCATCCTTCCTAGGCCATGGCCCCCTTGGCCTGGGGCTGTCCTACTAGTGCAGGAAGGGGATGCTTTTCCCCCAGGCTGTCCTGGCTAGTCCTGCCTAGGTCTGAGGTGCTATCCCTTGGGGAACACAGGGCTCCCTATTTCCACATGCGGCCTCACCACGTGGCTCACAACCCCTGTCCCAGCCAGCATGAGGCTGGCATTATTGTGTTTGTTTTAACCCCTTGTCCAGGTGCAGGTGGCACACCCACACAGTGGTGTGTGGTGGGCCCCCTTGCCTAGCTCTCCAGGCCTGGCGGCCAGCTGCAAACTCACCCCCCACCCACCCCTTGCTATCTCGTGGGGGCCCAGGCCTGTGTCTCAGCAGGAACAGCTGTTTCCCCATCAGCAACACTCAGGGGGTGTGGCTCTGGTCCCCCATTCACCCTCTCAGATCCCCTAGGTTGTCCGAGACGTGGAGCCCTGGACGCTGCTGCACCTGGTGTGCTTGTCACTCATCGGGGTCCCATCTCAACCAGAGCCCTTCAGGTGGCTCCCAGATCCTCACAGAGGGCCCAGGGCATGCCTGAAACTACCACGTTCAGGCTCTGTTTCAGGCTCCAGGCCTGCAAACAGTGTTTGGCCAGGACCACGGGGCCCTTTGTGGGAAGTAGGTCTATTTTGAAATGGAAACCCTGTACTTGCACTGTCCGTGGCTGTGCAGAGCTGCCTGGCTGTGCCCTTCACACCATAGCGGCTTCATCCACAAGCCAGGGGCATATTGGCAAGGCCTCTGGGCCTCTTGGGATCAGCCGCTGTGCCCTGCCAAGCGTTCACAGCTGATGAGACAGTCCCCAAACGTGGCTGTTCCAGTTCTGATCACTGGGGTCTTTGTGGCTGCACAGTTCGCAGAAGGCAACCACTGCAGCCTCCAGGTTGCCCTTCAGCCAGGCTTCCCTTTCCATGAGAGCAGGGCGCTGGCCTGGCCAGGCTGAACAAAACACAACTCAGAAATCTGTCCTCAGCCTGTCGGCAGTAAAAATTCTGCGGATTCGACTTTTGAGTTGATTGCTCGCTGTGGCAGCTTACTGGAAAATGAGTCCAGGGTGCTGAGTCCTCCTCTCAGGTTACAGTCAGCTCCCACAGTGGGGTGTGCTGCTGATTTGCTCGTGGGTGTCACTGCAGGCTTTATCCTGTGGATAAATGCAGAGTCAATGAGTTTGGGGAGTCCTATGAGGAGGCCACGCAGACACCCCACGCGGACTGAAGGCCGCCCACCCTTGGGGCAAGTGCACCTTGAATTGTCAGTGAGTGTTTTTGGAAGCATCTGGTGGAATTCCTAGACATTGCATCTTCTGTGTTGCCAAAATCCCTTTGGACGTTGCTCAGACCCCTCCCAAGTTCCCTTCATGTTGTCAGATTTGGAGCTGGATTCCCTTATGATGCCCACCCCCACACTCCACCACGTGTGAACAGACATCTGTCTCGGTCACTGAGCTGGGCGCTGCCAGTCACCCTGAGCTATGGTGGCTCCCGGCACATGAGTGTCCAGTGGGGGTCAGCCGTGTCCTCACGCTGGTAGGCGTGGGAGCCCACACAGGCAGGGGGGCTGTCGGATTTCCATTTCAGGTGGTTTTTAAGTGCTCCTTATGTGACTTTCAGACATACGGAATTCATTCCGTGTGGACTCTGGGATCAAAGGCTCTTTCCTCTTTTGTTTGAGAGTTGTTTTAAAGCTTAATGTATCTATATTTCTATTGTAAAATAAATTTTTCTGGCTGTGGCATTTTTCTTGACCTGGTATTAATTGAAAGTATTTCAGATATTTGAGTTTAACTCTTTTCCAGAATGTAATACATAATATGGATTTATTTATGCATTTAAAGAGCCTCTCCCAAGTCCTTGAGTCATGAGTGTTCTGAAATCCTTGGCATCTGTTATTTAAGACTAAATGGTTGTGCCTAGCCGTGACCCAACAGGTCAAGCCTGTCTTGCCCTAGGTTGAGGCAGAGGAGGAAATGAGGTAGAAAGGTGTGTTTTCAGACAGTGAACTGTAGGACTCAGTGCACAGCGGGCTTCAATCATGTTCACTGAAGTCAGTTTCTGTGGGATTTTTTCCCTCAGCTCACTGCAGCCTCCACCTCCCACGTTCACATAATTCTCCTACCTCAGCCTCCCAAGTAGCTGGGACTTCAGGTGTATCCCACCACATCCAGCTTTTTTGTATTAATATTTTTAGTAGAGCTGCTGTTTCACCATGTTGGCCAGGCTGGTCTCGAACTCCTGGCCTCAAGTGATCCACTTACCTTGGCCTTTCAAATTGCGGGGAGTACAGGCGTGAGTAGCTCACAGGCGTGAGCTACCGCGCCCATCCTCTAAATACAGAATCTTTTTATATTCCTGGCCCTTTCCTTGCTCTAAGCCTCCTCTGGCGTTAATATAGCTTTCATCCTTGTGTTTCTGGAACAAGCACCCCTCTCGTGTGTCTGGCTTCCTCGAAGCTGAGGGGCTTCAGGAACCCTGCCAAGAGCCCCGAACCTGCAGGAAGTCTGTTCCACGTGTCCCACTTAAATGGACTAGACACAATTGCAGGATGCTCGTTCAGCTGAGAACCAAACCCAGATGCTCTCAGGACCTGCAGGCCACAGTGACATTTCTGTATGCCCTGCTTTCTCCTCGGATTGGATAAATCTCATCGTTTTTAATTAAGGTGTCTTAAACTTCACTCACCTGGTAAGAGATGCACTGGGTTGTCATCTTTTAGTTTGATCAGTGAGAACGGGAAGACGAATATGCATACATGGTCCAAAACGTGTTACTTAGCCGTGTTATAAGTGGGGTCTGTGATGGTGGCTGGGAGAGCAGATGAACTGCCAGGGTTTATTAGATGTGCAGGTCTCAGATGGGGGGCACAGCACCTAAGGGGACTTGAGGGGTGCAGGGGCAGCGGCTGCACACAGGGTAGATAGGGTGGACCCTCAGGGAAATTAAAAGTGGGGAAAGAGCAGAAGGCGTGAGGGGCTTCATTGGTGTGTTTGGAGGTCACAGGAGGGCTGGCCCATCACAGGTGTGCCAGGTCAAGGGGGTGGGGGGGCGGGGCTCAGCCAGTCTGTGGAGAAATTGAGGCATCAGAGAAACAGGAAGCTTTAAATGTTCACGATGGACCTCACCACATAGGCCATGCCTTTGCCAGATTACTAGGGTGGGGAGTGATGGAGGGTGTCCCTTCCACACCTGTAATTTTATTTGTCTTTGGGGGAGGAGAGCCTTGCCTTATAAAACACACAACTGGCTGTGCTCTGTAAGGCTTCCCCTGGCATATCCTGTTGCCAGCAGCTAAGCACACGGAAAAGCAATCTCCAATGCACTCCAGCGCCTGGCTTTGCCTGGGGGATGCTGGCCACATCAGGTGCCATTCCCAGCATTTCCTCTGCCTCCTGGGGCACATAATGCCATAGTCAGTGCCTGTGCCCAGCTCCCACAGAGACAGCGCCACTCAGCACTTGCATCAGCAGCCAAAGCTGTGCCTAATTCACAGGGGCTCTGTGGACAGCTTTGCTACTCTCGCTTTTCAGTTTCAGTATCAAAAATAGTTGTTACAAGAAAGGACTTTTTTGCCACAGCACCTGCTTTTTTATTTGGGCTGGTGTGCTGAGCAAAGGTGGGTACAGGAGCCTCATCAGCCTGACAGCAGAGTCAGCTTAGCCTGAGTTTCCAGGAAGCACTGTCAGGGCCCCGGGAGGGGCAGGTGCCCGTTGCACACTGCATCTGCTTCTGAAGTCAGTGCGCTGGTATCCAGTGGCCCTCCAGTGCCATTTTCATCCAGGCTGCAGAAGGTGTTATGCATGGACCAGCTGCTGCCGACTGTCAGTCTTGCTCTGTTTAAACAGTAGCAAGTGGCAGACTAGCTCTGAAGACACTGCTCGTCACCTGTGTCAGTTACTCCTGAGAAGTTGCTGGGCGCCTGCCTCTCCCATTTTTAAGATGGGCAGAAGTTTAAATAAAATGAGTTTGGGGAACGAGGCCTTGAAAGTCCTTCCAGCTTCAGGACCAGCACTTGGGACAGTCTTGACTTTCCGCCCCATGGGCTGGCACTCCTGCAAACAGACAGGTTTCAGGAGTGACCAGCACTAAGCCTCAGGCAGATCCCAGCTCACGGGAACCCTGAAGCCTCACTCCCCAACAGAGGCTCCTGCTGGGCGACTTGAAACGCACTTGAAGGGTTTCTCCATCATTCATCCTGATGAGGAGTTTGGTTCTGCGTTTTTCTCATGGATTTCCTTGGTAATTCTTCATAATATCAAGGCTGTGTCTTACATGATGATTACGAGGTGGGACTCAGAAATGTTCCAAGTACCTGTCGATTTTAGAATGTGTTGAAGCCCTCAAAGCTGTTGCCAGCATCTGTGACACATGTGTCTGACACAGCGAGGGCCCAGGGTCACAGACAGCGGAATGACAGCATCCCGATCACAGCTGCGGGTTCTGTACCTGGGCGGGACTGGCCCTTCCAGAGCAGCCAGTGTCCAGAAGGAGCTTCTGCTGCCACCCCTTGGCACTGGACCCTCATTGTATAGATGAGGTTTTCTTTAACAACCAGGAGGAAAAAAAAAATTTTTTTTTTTTGAGACAGAGTTTTGCTGTTGTCACCCAGGCTGGAGTGCAATGTTCCGATCTCGGCTCACTGCAACCTCCAACTCTCTGGTTTAAGCAATTCTTCTGCCTCATCCTCCCGAGTAGCTGGGACTACAGGCACGTGCCACCATGCCCAGCTAATTTTTGTATTTTTAGTAGAGACGGGGTTTCACCATGTTGACCAGGATGGTCTCTTTCTCTTGACCTCGTGATCCACCCGCCTTGGCCTCCCACAGTGCTGGGATTATAGGCGTGAGCCACCGCGCCCAGCGAAAAAAATTTTTAAGAGGTTTTCTGTATTTTATAGAAGAGATTTTTATAGAACAGGTTTTCTTCAGACCAGATTTTATTAGCCCAGGAAAACGAGAACACATAACCTTGTGAAATGCCTGTGCACGTAGCCCTGTAGAAGCCAGTCTGGTGGCTGTCAGGTCTTTGGAGTGGCATCGAGATGGGTCTGTTGGCCTTGGCCCTGGGGAGCCCTGCAGGCCAGGGTCCTGGAGGAAGGAGATGGTGCAGCTCACGAGGTGCAGCTATGGAGCCCTGATGAAGCGGGGGCCCCATTCCAGGAGTGACCCATACGGAGGAGGGAAGCCAGGAGGAGCTCTTGACGGGCCACAATTTACCCCTTTCCTGAAGGAGGCACAGGACCTGAGGGGACGTGGAACCTTGTGGTCCATGGTGCTTCCGAGGCAGCAGCCTCCACAGAGATGCGGGTCCTGGAAAAGCCCACCACATGAGTGTCACCCAGCCACTGCCACAATCCCCACAGCGTTGTGCTTTGAGCAGCATATTCTCTCATGGTTCTGAAGTCCAGACCAGGCCTCCCTGAGCACCACAGAGGTGTGAGCAGGTTGGGCCCTCCAGAGGCTCCAGCAGCCCCAGTCCTCAGTTTGCCACCTGGAGAGCTGTTCTCCTTGCATTCCTAGGCTCATGGCCCCTTCCTCACCTCACCCTGACCTCTGCCTCCCATGTCATAGCCCTGATCCTCACTCCGACCCTCCGTGGTTCCGTCAGCCCCAGCCAATTACCCAGCACCATCTCCCGTCCAAGGTCCCACATATGACGGTGGCCGCAGAGTCCCCTCCAGCACATAGGGTTACACCCGCGGTTCTGGGGCTGGACCTGGATGACTCTGAGGGAGGCACCCACCTCCACCATATCCTACTATTTCCCTTGGTAACTTTCAGTCATGATATCCAAGTGGCCTCTGTCCTGTTGGCACACCAAGAAGCAGGCACATTTTTGTTTTTGAGATGGAATCTCATTCTGTCACCCAGGCTGGAGTGCAACAGCGCCATCTCGGCTCACTGCAAACTCTGCCTCCAGGTTTCAAGCGATTCTCCTGCCTCAGCCTCCCAAGTAGCTTGGATTATAGGTGCTTGCCACCACGCCCAGCTAATTTTTGTATTTTTAGTAGAGACAGGGTTTCACTATGTTGGCCAGGATGGTCTCGAACTCCTGACCTCAAGTGATCCACCCGCCTCAGCCTCCGAAAGTGCTGCGATATGAGTTTACAGGTATGAGTTATTGCGCCCGGCCGGCAGGCACTTTTAAAAAACTTGCTATTGTGCAGTTTCTGCACAGCGTCGAGGCAGGTGTGCTCCGTACAGCCCAACAGGCACGACATGCTTCCATGCTCCAGCATGAAGCACCTGAGCCAGCTGCAGATGGACCTCGGCCCACGGGGCCCTCTCGGTGAAAAGCATGTGGGTGGACCCTGCCACGGGTCACTGGGTCCAGGTCCCACACACGATCAGTCACCCTGGGAGCTCTGGTGCCTGCATTCTTGGGCTGCGCTCTGCCTGGTGTCCATCTGTGTGGTTAAGGGGTGCTCATTTGTAACTTTCTTCCATGTGGCATTCCATGGCATGAACCGGGGCTGTTAGGGTTCGGCTCGTGCAGGTGGCTGTGTCTGCTTTTGGGGCACAGACTCAGGGGGATGTGGCTGTCATGGTGCGTGTGTGCTGAGCTCCAGTACGTCACCCGTGTTCTAAAAGGGCAGTGCCACTCCAGCTGTGCATAGCGGCTGTGAGCCCCATGGCCTCACCCCTTCTCCAGCACACAGCACTGCTGTCTTTAGTTTTAGCCACTCTGGTGGGTGTGTAGTGGAGTCTTTGAAGTTTAAATGTGCATTTCCCTGCTGCCTAGTGGCGTTGAAAACTTTGTTTCCTCACCGGCCATGTGGGTGGCTTCTCTCTGCAGAGTGCCTGAGTTTTGTTTCCTGTTCCCTTCCAGTAACACCTTGCAGAGCTGACCCCTCAGGGGCCTCAAGAGGCTGCTGCAGCCACAGCGGTGAGGCTGAGCATGCTTCCTCTTTGTTATCTAAAATCACCCCGAGGCACTTGTAGATGCAACTGATGAAACTGCCGGGCCTGCGGTTCCCTTTGTGGGAAACTTTTTCACTACTGTTTTAATTTCTGTAACTTCTATGATATTAATACCATGCAGCTTTTCTATTTCCCCTGGAAGTTTTATTATAATGTTTTGTTTATTTAAAGAATTTGTCTGTTTGACCTAAAGTATCAACTATCTTTTTTTTTTTTTCTTCTTTTTCAAGACAAGGTCTTACTCTGTTGTCCCGGCTGCAGTGCAGTGCTGCAATCTCAACCTCCCTGGGCACAGGTGATCCTTCCACCTCAGCCTCCGAAGTAGCTGGGATCACAGGCACATACCACCACACCCGGCTAATTTTTCTTATTTTTAGTAGATGTGAGGTTTCACCATGTTGCCCAGGCTGGTCTTGAACTAACCTCAAGTGATCTGCCCGCCTCAGCCTCCCAAAGTGCTGGGTGTGAGCCACCATGCCCAGCTAATTTTTGTGTTTTTCTTTTAAGCAATGGGGTCTTGCCATGTTGCTCAGGCTAGTCTCAAAGTCCTGGGCTCAAGTGATCCACCACATACCTCAGCCTTCCAAAATGCTAGGACTATGGGCATGTGCCACCTGGCCTGGCACTGATATCAACTACCTTGGCATGCTGTTTGCATAGCACTGTCTTGATTTACGTGATGCCTGTCACGTAATGTCAGCTTCTCCAGCCCTGCATAAGTTTT